CACGGCAAAATGTAATGTGTTTATGGCGAATCAGCTCGCGGTTCTGACTACGAGCGTCGGATATGCCCATGGGTGGCGGGTTCGATTCCCGCCCCGAGGTGCACGCAATCTGACGAAGGCTCATTGCAGAGAAGGTGCCGTGTAACCGAGCATTTGTGGTTGCACGCCAAAAGATCGTCCAGGTGGTCGAAATCAATCCTCGGTCCTCCGCTGGAGCGTGCCAGATGCCCTTCGTAGAGGTTTGGGACGTAAAGCCCCGTAATTATTTTACCACGGGCGTCGCGCGCGCGCTGATTGACCGCGATCCGATAATGTAATTCGATCGAAACCACATTAAATTTGACCGCGTGGTAGGGGTGATTCGAGTGTATTATTCGTTCGATCTCATCGGACGGCACGGCACAGTCGTCGGGACGTTACCCTCTTTGCCCGCGTATGCACCGAAGAATTTATTGTACTTTCTGCCTAATTACGCAAGCATCAAACAGGATGCGGGGGACGTAAAGTGCACATGCCGAATGCACTCGCCTCATGGACATAAAACATTCAAATTAGAATTTAAAAAAAAAGGGGGGGGGGATGGCGAACGCACGCTGTAGGTTTTTGCTTTAGGTTTTTGCGTTAAAGGGGCCGTGAAATAAATTTTGGACCGAGATAAATTATTCTAAATTGCGACTTTACTCATCGCGTATCGTTTTTGCAGCTAAAGGAAGAGGGCAGAAGGTCAAAAGTACGGCTTTTCGGGACGAAAATTGGAAAATATAGCGGTCTATGTCTCGTATATATACCTTATTTCCTTCGAAAGCTCTCGGCGAAAGCTCTCCAGCCGACCTCAGCTCACGGATTGGACACGACCAATGTCATCAATCAATCCGTCGACGAATGTTTGGATTCGCGTTCGTGGCCAATGGGTACCGTGACGTCACTAGAGTTATAATCACTGGCGAGTGGCAACTACAAGTTCCACGGTGGGCTTGAAAAGCACGCTGGAAGCTCGGAGTCGTCGCACCGCTGCCCAAGCATGTCACGACCACGTGGTTTGTCATTTCACGTTTGAGTTGAGGATTAAAGCCAAGGAGGAAGAAGTTGTTAGATCTTTTCCCGACCCATTTGAGGCTGGAACACGTGTGCGAGAAACCAACCGAAAGTCGCACGAAAATCGAGACGCAAATAAATTATTCCACACTATGTATTTGCAAAACGAATAGCACTTATACACCGCAAATATGGTTTCGCTTAAGTTTGCCACTGATGCACACGCAAAAAAAAAAGCTTCGTTATTAAAAAAAAAAGAAGAAAATAGTGAAACTATTTTTGTGCGGTTTTCGGTGTGTGTTTTCTGCACATGCGTTACTGGGTTTAGAACAGTTACGGCTGCAAACGCCAGAATTTGCGGCGAATAACTCTCGCAGCATGCTCCCTGGCGATTCGAAGGAAAGGAAATCTAATTTAGCAAAACTCCCGTTAAAAATTGGTGCTAACACCGTTGGATTGCGCACCGCTGCGAGCTCATCGCGGATAATTTAAATCGTCTTGGAATCTCAGATGTGGGTTTGGGTTCCTGTAACGTTTTTATTTGGCAGTTTCGGAAATTTGAAATTCGTCGTGTCTTTGGGCAGAAAAAGATTGAAAAAATCAAAATTCGTCGCAACCGTAAAAAAGAAGAAAAAAAATGGTTGTGAGCGTTTAAATTTATTGGCAACTGCAAAAAAAAAAAAAAAAAAAAAAAAAAAAAACATTATTGCTGGGATTGTTTGGAGCGACCTGGGAGCCGAGCTGGGCTCACAGACCGTCATTTCAGTGCGGCCGAAGTCTTCTTTCGGCCAAGTGTTTCGATTCGGCCAAGTAATTTTGATTCGGCTAGGGGCTTCGGTTCGCCTCAATTCTCGGTAGTGCGACTGCCATTTTCAGTTTGTACGTTTTCGTCTGCATTAGTGCCACTAAATATACGCTACGCCTCAGACTAACGACGATTCGTTCATCTTGGTGCTCTCTAAAATCTTGTTGCCACGTCATCCGATGCTTTACCCGAAATCGCCGGAAACGGTTATCCGTTTTCCGGAAACGCTTAAACGGTTCGCGACAGAACAAAACGATACCGCCAAAGCTTGATTAGTGTCGTGATATAGGCGAGTTGGTTCATGGTAAACGGAAAATAAACAGCGCGCAAAAATAGATAAGGACGAAAGTAAGATGCGAACGACACAAGCGCTGGAAGCGTCAGTTCGGCCCAGGCGCATCGATTCGTCTGAAAGGACGATGCCTTTTTTTGGCTGATCACTGGAGGTGGTAGTTTCAGCTGGACTGAAAAAGATTCGTTGGCTGAGATGTCCTCGCCTTAGCTGCGGGACCGAAGTGTGCATGCGTCCTGGTTTAGAGACTGGATTTTAAAATACTGGAGTTCACGTAGTTTGAAAGGCTCCAGGGCAAATGGTATAGCCACAATTCCTTGCGTTGATTGTTAACACTATTATTGAGTTGTTTGTCGCATCGAGCTACTGTGCACACACCATGTTGATGCTTTAAAATCAAACGGGTTATTAACTTGCTCACGCAGTACATTACAGCTGTTTCAACTGCGCGTCTTTTTTTTTTTTTTTTTTTCTTTATACCTGGCCGCCATTCATACAGAAAGTAGGTAACTTCCGCGGACTGCGCTGCTCATCGTCTGAGGCGAAGGAAGCAAAAAGATGCAAGCATCGTGCATAGATAAAATGCTGTATAGGATGAGTTCCTTTTCATAAACTATGCTGTAATGTGTCGAAGAGGCGCGCGCCACAACAGTCCTCATTTTGTTATCCTGCTAACGCGACGTATACAGAAGGAAACATGGAATCAAAAAAGCTTTCTGCGAGTGGAAAATTCGTAATTACACTGAACGATAGATAACACCGTTTAACGAACAGTTTTCAAGTCTCTGAGATCCGCTAAAAGATATTTAGAGTAAATAACCATTAC